TCGATTAAAAGAGCTTGCTTCTACAAAATGCCTTCATAAATGCCTAATTCAATAAAATATCTCGACCAAAGAGTTCAAACTTAGCTCAACCCAAAAAGCTCAGATCTATAAAATGCCTTCATAAAAACTCAATTAAAAAAATAGCTTGGCCAAAGAGCTCAGACTTAGCTCAACCCAAAAAGCTCATATTTACAAAATACCTTCATAAAGGCTCAATTCGATAAAACAGTTAGGCCAAAAAGCTTGGACTCAACTCAACTAAAAAAGCTTGAATTTACAAAATATCTTCATAAAGGTCCAATTCAAAAAAATAGCTCGATCAAAAAGCTCAAACTCAACTCGATCAAAAAAGCTCGGATTTATAAAATACATTCATAAAGACCTAATTCAATAAAATAGCTCGACCAAAAAGTTTGAATTTAGCTCGATCAACAGTGTTCGGATCTACAAAATATCTTTATAAAAGTCCAATTCGACAAAACAGCTCGTTCAAAAATCTTGGACTTAGCTTGACTAAAAGAGTTCATATCTACAAAATGTCTTTATAAAGGTTCAATTCAACAAAATAGGCTCGACCAAAGAGCTCAAATCTACAAAATGCTTTCACAAAAGCCTAATTTGACAAAATAACCCAAATCCAAAGAGCTGGAACTCAGCTTAGCCAAAAGAACTTGGATCTATAAAATACCATCATAAAGGTTTAATTCGACAAAATAGCTCGATCAAAGAGCTTATCTTGGTAAATTGTCTACATAAAAGCTTGGTTGGGTCACATCGATCAAAGTGAATAGCTTGGCCAAAAGAGCTCACCTTGGCCAAAAAAGCTCACCTCAGTCGAAAGAGCTTATCTCGATCACCTCGATTAGAGAGCTTATCTCGGTAAATTACCTATATAAAGTCTTGGTTAGGCCACATCGGTTAAAATGATTAGCTTGGTCGAAAAAGCTCAGTTTAACCAAAAGAGCTTATCTTGACCACTTCAATTAAAGAGCTCATCTTAACCATTTTAGTTAAAGAGCTTATCTCAATAAATTACCTATATAAAGGTTTGGCTGGACCACCTTGACCAAAGTGATTAGCTTGGTCAAAAGAGCTCACCTTGGTCAAAAGAGCTAATCTCGAATCATCCCCGACAATTATTACTTTGGTAACCTTTAAACCAATTATGTGCTCAATCCAAAACACATGCACAAGATTGGATAACTGTCAGGTAGGACTGTGGCTCAAAACTAGTCATCATCTAAAATCGACACCCCCCTGTAACATTGACCTTCGACAAACCAAGCTTCTTATCTATTCCTTTAAGCAATCTATCTCATATCGTAGACATGATAACAAATTTAATGATTTAATATTCAGATCACCTAATAAAAAGACAAAGTGTTATAAGTATTTGATGATCAAAATGGTGTAGTGGTTACTTCTCCTTTTAAAGCCTTAAGTAGACAACCAAAGGCATCTTTGTCATTTGTGTCGATTGACATGTTAAGTTGACCTAACATGGTCAGTGCCACCTTAGCTTTGTCTTATCTTAATTGTCCCCTTATGATCTCTCTCAACTTACCTATAAATATGATAACTTAAACAGCATGAAAAGAGGTTCATTTCATTCATATCTCTCTCTCTCTCTCTCTCTCTTTCTCTCCTCTCTCTCTCTCTCTCTCTCTCTTTTCTTCTCTCTTTTTTCACTTCTTTTCTATCCTGATCCTTATTGACTTACTCATCGAAGTGCAAACTCAGGAACACCCCCTGCTTTTGCCTCTAATCATCTTTCACTTCTGCATTTATAAGAATACCTTCAGGTTGGAACTCGGCACCAACAACAGTGCCTCAAAGCAAAAGTCCTAAAACCTTGAGTAATGTTAAAAGATCTAGATCTGATCAATCAAACAAATTGAACTAAGAATCAATGGCTTATATGGTCTTATTAAGTGTATTATATTGGGAATTTTTTCAACTGGTGAAACATCACATTAAATTGAGTTAAATCATACTAAATCGATATTTGAATCGATTTTGAGTATTATTTTATCATTTAATTATTAAAAAATTATAAATGATGATATTTGAATCCTTAACCTCTTAGTTATACATTAAAAAACCTACAATTAGGTCAACTGCATTTTTTTATAAATGATTATTATATTTAATACTTATTAAATACTAAAATGTAGATTTAATTCTACAAGCTTCTTCTAATTAGATAAGCCCAATTGAATTAAGAATCAGATATTCCTCAGTTTAACCTTCAATTTGATTTTTTAAATATGAAACTTAATGACTCAAATTCACATCTAATTATATGTGGATTTACTTCAATTTATATTGGATTTATTCAATTATGCACAAGTTCATTGGGCAATTTGTTTATTTAATTTAATTCAATAATTTTTCTAATATAAATGTAATATTTTATTGTGGTTACAAATTCTCTTATACTTATAACTTCATAAAAAAATATCTATAAATTTATTTATTTATATTTATACAAAATAAACTTATTTATCTACACATTGTATTGGAAAATATGCAAGATGGGTCAACTAGAGGTTGTAAAATAGGTGAACAGTCCATAACCTAAAACGTATTACAGGTTGTGCTAACATGATCCATTTTGCTATAATAATGGAGTGTTAGATTGGTTCGAGATTTTTTATTCATGGGCAGACAGCATAATCCATGATCGACCACAGGCTAACATGTGACTTGATACATAACAACATAATCCATAATTTCATTTTTATTTTTCATTTGATCCCCATCCATCATATACTTAATTTCCATAAGTTGGTTAATGAATAATGAGTAATGATCCCATTATTTTTTATATGATATACTTTTGTTTGTTTAGTTTTGGAAAAAAACATTGATCCATGATTATAAGTGCCAAATAGGTTGGTGGGCCCATAACATGATACAATTTGACATGGTTGGCATGGCTTTTTACTAAATAATTGGGTTGGGCCAAGCACGATACATATATATGTGTCATGTTGGGTTAGAAATTTTTTAACCCATGGGTAGGCATTACACAGCCCATTAAAGGTTGGTGTTAGCATATAACATATGCACTAGCATAGCACAATACACAAGTCCAAATGTACCATGCCATGTTGGCCCATAAGTGTTATAAATGGGCTTCTAACCTTTGAGTATATTATTATGTTGACTTTTAGTAATTTATATAATAAAATTATATTAAATAAATTTACTTATTAAAATTTTAAATTAATGATAGATAAATTATATCTGACTAATTTGTAAACCATTCAATGCACGGATTATTTTTATTTATTTAAATTTGTGTGTGTAAAAATAAATTAGTTAGCATCTTAATGGGTCTTTAGGTGCATTTCACTTTTTACAAGATAATTGGTGTAATAAATTAGTTAGCATCCTAATAAGATTAAGTAACCATTTGTTTTTGTAGATGATGAATGTTTTAATAATTTAATTAGTAATGGTATAAATATTCAATTATAAAATAGTTTCAATAAATACTATTAAATCAGATGCTTTTAAAATATTTTTTCTTATAAAAAAAATTTAATATTTAGTTTATCAAAAATTTCCTCTAGAATTTTACTTACTTCTAATATATGGATCAATCGGCAAAACTTTGTGATATGTATATTATTGGGTATTGGATAAATGATGCATGTGTGTTTTTTAAAAAAATATTAAGATTGTTATTTCAATATCTTTATTTAATTGATTATATTATCCATCTCTATGGATATAAACATTTTGTCGAATCACATAAATTATACATCCTTTTTATTTCATATGTGTTTATATCTCCCGCATGTTATTTTTAATAATAATAGATGAAATTTTTTTTAAAATATCAAATTTTGAAAAAGTATTAAAATGATGTGCTTAGCCTAGCTCAACACAAAAAACAGTGTTATACTTGACATGGCACAATCCATGAAAATTACTGGTCATGTGCCGTACTAAGCCATCTCCTTAACCTTCATAAACCATACCAACACAACACGTTAAAAAATAATGTTAGGTTGGCATAATCCATTAACTTATAAACTCATATTTAAATGAGTTATGCCAACCCAACACAACCCATTTGACACCTCTATGACCATGATATATGTTAATTGTTATTTATACTTGTAGACTTTATTATTTTTAGTTAATTAGTACTTGTAAAATTATTCATGGTAAAAATTTTTTTCCCTTATCACAGAAACATATGCATTTTAAACTAAAACACGAAAGTCATATTTTAATATTTTTTATTTTTATTTTTTGTTTTTATAATTACAACTCTAAAATAATAAATATATAAGAAACCTTAACAATTAAAGAAAAGTATATGAAATAAAAAATATTGGAGTGAACCAAGCATGAGCCACTCACTAAATGTTGGATCAAGCCCAATACAACTAAAGGTGTAAATGAACAAAGTTTTTAACGAACGATTTGTGAATATGTTCAGTTTCTATTTGTTTATTTTTATTTATTAAGCTTAACAAATAATTTTGAAAGACATTTTTATATTCATTTATTAAATGAACTAAATACGAACAAATGCTTGTTTGGTTCATTTATTTCATGAATAAACTCGTTTAAATTTCATTTAAAACTCTTTTATTTATTATTTATTTATTATTCCTTACTATTTATTTATAATATAATAAAATTACATTTTTTTTTTTACCTTAATCCTATTTTAAGATTCATTTATATTCATTTATATTCATTTAAGATTTATTTGTTTAAATTTATTTAATTATGACTTATTTATTATTTATAAACATATTCATTTTTATATATTTATGAATATATACATTTAATATTCATAAACAAATTCTTTTAACTTAATAGAATCGAACACAAACATCCTATCATTTAAGCAAAACAATTTTTTATTGAACATAAATCAAACTCAAACATCTTTAAAAATAAATGAATAAACCACAAATATAAATTCATTCATTTATATTCAATTTGTTTACAACTACTCTAAATAAAACCTATAATGTATTCGGACCACAAGCTATACCGAGCTTATCCCTAAAATATTATTTGGACTGTGTCAAGAAAAAATCATATCATAAGACGTAAGCAGACTGAAATGACCGTGTCAAGCACAAGAAGCAAACTGGACCGACACTGCTGACATAGTGCTCAACACTGGGCCGTATTCGGCCGACCCAGATCGCCAATTTGTGACCTTAGGGTCAACAGGTCCCAACTCCTTGGCCCTTCAAGTGAAGGTTAATCTCCACCTACTGCTTTGGAACACAAAAATGAAACTCCGATAAAATTTCTTACATCTTATACTCCCAAGTTTCATGTGATAATATTACAATTATTGACATTGCTCGATTCTCGCATTAACTTTATTTTGCTAAATCAACAACCTTAAGCACTTCAAGAAGAGGAAAAGATGCTTAAGGAGTTAACATGAATTTTTATCATGAACAAATCTATCTGCTACAATCTACCAAGTTATAAATATAACTTATGATGACTAGATAAGAGTAAAACAGTAAAATATTTATCCAGTTACTTAACCAAAAATCAATTCCCAATCAATCTCCTAGAAAGGGCAACGTCAACTCATTGTTGCCCAGCAAGAGGGAGCCAAGCAGGCAGGCACTCCTATTGCAAGGCCATTTATCAGAGGTTTTCTTCTCTGGCGATGGCATGAACGAAAAATTATTGTTGGACATTAAGCGGGAGAATTCAGACAGAGAGGTTGAGGCAGACTGTCCAAATTTTGGAACAGCAAAAAGTCAACAAAACCAGACACCAAAGCAAACCACCACATCAGAACATACTTTCCAGAATGTAAGCATGTTAGGGAAAAAAACAAAAGAAAACAAAAAAGATAAAATCATTAACATTCTCAAAAGTCCGAGCAAACAATAATAACCTCAATTAAACACGCAGAAAAATGTTATTTGTGGCATTGCTCTACCTCAGATTCAGTCACACAATGCATTTTAGACATTATAATCTCATGCTTGTCGTGTATGAATTGACAAAGAAAATATAAGCAAGTGTAAGAACTATCCCAACCTAAAAAGCATCACAAAATGACTGATTATACCATCCGTTTAAAGTAATAAAAGCTAAAAAAAGCCAATGGAGGAATTGGAAAATAGACAATCTAAAGGGGAACAAAATGTACAGGCATATCTTTCCAGAAGTGAAGCAAGCTTAAAAATCATCAACAAGAAAAACCTGATATTCCACCCAATTAACCCTAGTTTCCCATTTGCCTACACATCTATTATAAGACATATAATAAGCATGTCTTCACAATAAAGGAGGGGCCACTGATGCACAATTTTTGCAACAGAAAAAAAGAGTATCCAGACAACGACACAAGAATTCCAAAGAATAATAAGCATCCAAACCTAGACATGGAACTTCCCCTATTATATTTACCACTCTACTCCAATCTCCAGGATAGATAATTGACAAAGACAAGGCATCTATTCCCTTTTTTGTTTATTACCATTCTTTACCAAGGCTAAATCTAAAACTTCTCTAGAGATCGATCTACACATCATCAAGCATTTCCAAATATTTTAACTAAACCCCGTAAATTGCATTGCAACTCTTTCAAATAATAATAGAATTATAAGAGCCTCTAAGCAAGCTGATGAAAAGCATAGTACACAATAAACAATAAACAAAACTACGGAAGGCCAGTCAAAGATAGTTTTTTTTCTTTTACTTTCTAATATTTTAAAGATTTTCTTTTAACCGAAACATGAAAGAAAAAACATTGCCCCCCAATTCCCCAAACCCCTCATTATATCAAAACTTACAGTAGAATTAAAAAAAAAAAGGAAAAGAAGCAAAAAAACACTACTACGAAGAAAGAGGAGGTGGATTTGGCAATAACTGATGCAGATTCTTAGTAGTAATCTGATTCTGTCCTCTGACTATAAAAGGATGCTGCAACAACTGAGCCGCCGTCCATCTCCTCGCCGGATCCCTCTGCAAACAACACGATATAAAATGCCTAAACTCATAGGAAGCACTGGGCGGCGCCTCCGGTGGCTGAGACATACAAATCGCACACATAAGACTGGCCCAATCCCCTTGTCTCCCAACCGCAAAAGGAAACCTCCCTAAGTAAAATTCCAAAATGCTAACCCCTAAACTCCAAATATCCCCAGCGTAACCATCGTAGAGCCCATGGTTCAAATCAGTGTTAATCCTTTCAGGACTCATGTAAGCTATGGTCCCCACCGATGAATTACATGGGTCCATGGTTTGATCCAAGATTCGGCTCACCCCGAAATCAGCTATTTTCACCTTCTTCTTCGAATTGATTAACAGATTCGAGGGCTTTATGTCGCGGTGAACGATGTGTCGCCCGTGAAGGTAGGTTAGACCGCTGAGGATTTGTCGGGCTAGATCTGATAAGTTAGACTCTTGAGATATGTGAGTCCCTTCTAAGGATCCGCCGTCCATGAATTCCAAAAGGACCTGGATTTCGCCGTTGTGATCGTACATTTCGTGGCATTTGACGACGTTAGGGTGGTCAACGTCACGGAGGATCTCGATCTCCCTGCGGATCTGACGGCGAACGGACTCATCGTGGTTTCCATAGATGACTTTGAGGGCATAAGGTAGTGATAAAGGACGGAGCACGACTTTGTATACGGTGCCTCCGGTGCCGCTTCCTATTCGGTTGACCCGATCGAGTTCCGAGAAGTTGACTTGGTGAGCCGCTGCGTTAACGTTTGAGGAGGCTGATGGAGCAGAGTTGGTTGTCGGAGGAAGCGGAAGAGGGACGGCAAGAGAAGGGTCCCGTTGAGGAAGCGGTAGGGTTAGGTCGCCTCGCCTACGTGGACGGCTCCTATTGGTTGATGACGAGGAGCCACCCGCCAATACAGGCAGTTGTTGATTGGGTCTCATCTGTCCCTTCTTCTCATCCAACTTTGCTATTTCCCATTTTTTCCATTATTGATTTTTGCTTTTTCTCTTTCAGATATAAATTTTTGGGAGGAAGGAAAAGGAAGTCAATCATGAAAGAATCTGTTTCTCTTTATTTTTCCGAGAAGAGTCACAAAGGTTGTCGGAGGCGGAGGAAATACTAAAGAGTAAAAAAATTTGATGAAACAAAATTTAAAATGACAAAAAAGGGGGGTTATAAATAAGTGATGTTGTTTTTTTTTTGGAGTTTGAATTATTTTGAATTTAAGGTAATATTTAATACTTTTTGTAAAGTTATCATAATAATATAATAATTGAGATAATTTATTATTAAGATAGTTTTAATATTTATAATTTAAAATTATTTTATTTAATTAACAATCATAATTATTAATTCATTCATTTTTTTATCCATTACATAAATTTTACTCTTTATTATTATTATTTTTTACCTTCGTTTAATGTATCAATGTGACACATTTGTAATTTGATAGGTTTTTTTTTTGGGGATTGAATTTAGGTTTATTTTCAAAAATCAAGGCTAAGTTAGAGGTAAATTTTTTATTTTATCTTGACTATATATTTTAAATTATTTTTAATTTTATATTTATATATATTATATTAATAAAATTATTATTTAATATTTTAATTTAATAAAATTTTATTTTTATACATATTTAAAATGTAATCCATCCATATATCTATTATATAAATTTTATTTTTTTTGATTTTTGTTTGACCATCTTTCCAGGTTTCATCGTACCACCTTATATTTTTTTTTAGTTTTTTCAATTTTTTAGTTTTTTTAATTTTTTGATTTTTAATTTAGATAAATGTTATACAACAACAATGTGGGTACCCACGCTATTTTAATTTGCTTTTTTCTTTTCATCTTCTTCAATTAAATAAATTTTAAAATAAAAAAAATTGATAAATAAAAATGACAAAACAATTTGGATATGATTGTTCCCACTCAATTAAGCCTAATGAACTTCTTTTTTTTAATTTTTTATGTCTTTTTAATTAAAGTAATTTTGTGTAAAAAATCAATGAAAATTTTTACGTGACAATAAAATTTGTCAATTAATAAAGATGTTAAATAATATATATTTGATAATTTATGATTCATCTCAATTCAATAAAATTAATTTTTTAAATCAAGATTGAATTGAGATAGATTAAATTTTTCTAGAGAAACAAGATCAAGTTGAAAGTATGTTTATAATATCTTGTCTTAACTCATTTCGAGATATATATAAAATTATATATTTTATTATTTATTTAATTTTATACATATATGTACTATATTAATAACATTATTTTTTTACTTTAATTTAAGAAATTAATATTTTAAATTTATTAAGGGATGTGAATATGGCAACCTTTATAAGCTCATTTTTTTCTTTTTTAAAATTTTTTTTTGTTTTCTCATTTTTCACTTTTTCAATTTCTTGGGTTTTTGGTTTTTATTTTTTTAGATAAATTTTATGAAAAAATGAGGTCAATTAAAATATAAACTTGTCATTCCCATTTGTTTTTTACTTTTGTTTTTTTAACTAGATAAAATTTATAAAAGAAAACGGTAAATTGAGATGGCAAAATTAAAAAAAAAAAAAATTGACCCACAACAACCGTTAACATTTTTCTAGTTAATCTAAAATGTAAAAGTAAAGACATTATTTGTTTGCTATGTAATTATATTATATAAATTTATTTATCACTTTAAATAGATAATTAATTAAAATCTCTTAAACAAATTCATGGTGCATTTTCATTTTTATAAAATTTTCTATAATAAATAAATTGCTTATATATTATTTCCAAGCTATGTTTTATTTTATATGATTATTTTTATTTTCAAAGAATCAATATTTTTTAAAATAATGATATATATATATACAAATCTAAAAATAAAAAGAGCCAATATTTATTTAATTTACTATTTATATAATTATATATTTAATTGATTACTTAATTATAAAGAAGTTTTGTTTTTTTATTGATTTACTAGTAATTTATTTGAATATAAAATTGATTATTTATGATTTTTAGGTAATTATCTATTAATTAGCTTATTAAATAATTATATAAATGGTTTATTAAATAATTATAATAAAGTTATTTGAAAAACTTTAAATAAAAAAGAAAAACTGAAATAACAAAAAAAGAAAATAAATAAATAATGAAAAAGATGGAAAACAAAAGCTATAAGAGACATGGACATTTTCATTCTTGCACTATAATCTTAAGGGTGAACAGAAAAAAACGAGCATGAATAAAAAAAGAAAGAAAGCTATAGTGGAAGTGAAATATTTTAACTGCTCTAATACAGTGAAACAACCCCCAAACACCTGGAACTTTGTATGCCAAACGACACATCATTTTAGTTGTGGGTTTCAACTGCACCTCACTGGTGCTTTAGTTGAAACTAAATGATGTCTAAGTTTATTTTTGACTCATAATTATTTCAAATTTGAATTGTTTTATATCAAAATAATTTTAAATTTGAATTACTCCAAATTCAAGCTATTTTGATGAAGAGAGAGATCAAGTATAGAGAAATGCATTGATCAAGTGAGATCCCGAATGAAAAAGAACAGAAAGAGAAAAAAAAAATTTTTATATGACTAAATGTTTAATCTAGAATTTAATGCTCGAGTAAATTATTAATTAAGGACATAATGTTTAATTTGATCCAAATAAAGATTAAACATTTTCTTTTTCTTTTTTTTTTGAATAGAAACCATTCATTGATTAATTAGAAAAACCAGCATCTGTAAGTACATTGCTATGAATTATCTCAGGGCACTCCTCTATCCATTGCCTAGAGCTTTGGATGTCTAAGACATATTTTGCTAGTCTATGAGCTGTTTCATTTCCACCTTTCCTGACGTGGGTAATATTGCATGAACTAAATTCTATTGTCAAAGCTTTGGCTTCATCTATTATCACACCAATGGGGGAAAGATCCAACTTTGGACAGATCAATTTCTTAACTATAGAAAGGGCATCACCTTCCGATATGATGTTAGTGAAACCCCTCTACTTTGCAAAAGTACTGCTGCCATAGCTACAATGCAAAAAGCGTCAGTCACTCGAGGTAAAATTTCCGTGCAAGTTCCTCTAACATAGCTAATCTCGTCCCTTATCACCACTCCAATCTCACCGAATCTCTTATCTCTATTTACTGCAAAGTCAAAATTAACTTTGAGCTGTCCTTGATTTGGTGGCGTCCATCTACGATGATTCTGTTCCTCCCTCACTTTCCTCTGCTCTTGTGCTTTTGAGAACTCTTCCAGGTAATTCTTAGCAAATAATGTTGTCCCCCTGCCTCCCTTCGTCCCTCGCCATGAACTTCTTTATTTCGATTAGCCCAAATAACCCAAAAAGCAGTCCTGATTAAGGGGAACCTAAGTGGATCATTTTTATCAAGCACATGGAGCAACCAGCCCGTCGTATCACTAAAAACCTCTCCATTATCCCAATTAAAACCAAGGTGAGACTATACAGCTTTTGAATGTGAACAATCACTCAACACGTGGATCACTGACTCTTCTGCCACCCCATATCTTAGACATGTGGCCTCTTGAATCACCTACTTTTTTACCAGATTTTGGTATACTAGAATAATCCCTTTGCTGATTTTCCACCTCAGGATTTTAATCTTCGAGGGAACATGCGCTGCCCATATGTTATGTCAAATATTTTTACATCGAGTTTCATTTGCATCTCCTCCCTCACCCACCTCGGTCTCCAGTTCCATTCTTTGCAAAAATCGGCACTCACTTCTCACGGTATATTCCCCAGTGTTCTTGAAATGCCATACCATTACATCCTTAACGCCATTTTAGCTAAGCGGTAATGAGCAAATGGCTGCTGCCTCCTCTGCCTGGAAGATTTCCTAAATTATTTCATTATTCCAACAGTGTGTGTCTTCCATAATCAGACGTGAGACCAAGCTGTCTTCATCCCAATTTCCTCTTGGCGACAGGATTTTAAAGCCTTCATTGGTATGCAACCATTTATCACTCCAAATTTTGACAGATTTTTCTTCACCAATTCTCTATCTCATCCCTTGGTTAAGTAAAGACTTTGTGTTCCATATACTCCTCCATGTCATAGATGGTTAGTACCCTAAAGTAGACTCCATATAAGACTCATTCTCAAAATATTTTGCCTTTAGTACTGGATGGACCTGTGATTCCGTGTTGGCCGCAATCTTCCAGCTTTGTTTAGCTAACATGGCTATGTTGAAATTTGCTAATTCTCGAAATCCCATCTCGCCCTCAATCATTGTAGGCATATCATCTTTTAACTAACCCAGTGAATGCCTCTTCTCTCCTTACTTGTTTGCCACCAATATATGCTAATCATACCATTTTATTTCATTGCAAAGGGACTTCAGAAGTAGAAAGCATCCCATCGCATAGGAAGGAATAGCTTGGAGAATGGACTTGATGAAAACTTCTTTCCCCCTTGAGACAGTGTCTGGTGATTCTATCCCCTATCCGTGTTCATAGAATTCTGGATACCGAAGAAGTCTTTGATTTCGTTCTTCTGCTCCTCGCTCGTGTTATTGCTGAAAAATAATCCTGACTCGTCAAAGTTAATCTTCTCCCCCGAGCTTTCTCCTTACCTCCGTAGCACGTTCAACACCCTCTCACTTTCACTTTCGTTTGTTTTTGCAAATAATAAGCTATCATTAGCGAAGAACGAGTGAGTGACTCTTGGGCCATGTCGACTAGCTTTAACACCACTTATTAGGTTCTGGTTCTAATTCTTCATTACTAATAAACCCTTTGTATAAAACAAAAATAAATAGGGCGATAGAAGATCTCCTTGTCGAAGTCCTCTTCCTGGTCTAAAAACATCAATAGATTTTTTATTAACAATGAGTATGAGATCGACTTTACACATTTCATCGTTAACATAATCCAAGAATGATGGAATCCTAGCCTACCCATAATACCAACAAAAAAATCCCACTCCACCCTATCATAGGCTTTACTCATGTATAATTTCAAAGCAAACAACCCCTTCATCCCTTTTCTTTTAACTTTAAAACAGTGAAGCAACTCGTAAGCCACTAAAACATTATCTGAGATAAGGCAGCCAGGCACAAAGGCAGATTGTGACTCACTAATGCAATCATGGAGGATTGTTGTAAGCATATTAATAATGACCTTAGAAATAATCTT